GGGTAGAAGTGGAATGGGTAATCTCGTTTAGCATTGAGGTTGTCATTTGGGAGTGACGAGTTCCAGATAGAACATGAAGCAGTGTCTGGTAGGTAATGATGGTTTTTAGTGTTAGTATGTTGAGGGCATTGGTACTCTTATCTGATTAGTTTGGTTAGCTTGGGTATCGCAGTGTAACGTATGCGAGGTTTCGGTGTTGATAGTGTATGGCAATCCGTTGGTGGCGAGATAACCTAGAGTTGAGTTCGTAGTTCCATATGTGTTTCCAATTGGTTTTTCTCCTTGTGTGTAAGGAGTTCATTTCATCTCAGGTGGGATTGGGTGTCCATGGTCGGACGATTGGTGTGTAGTGTGTGACAAGGTGTCGGGTTCATTCAGGTGCGAGTTGTCAGTCTCTTGTGAGGGCTGGGTTCGTTACCCTTTCTGTTTGTTCTAGTCCTGGCAAGGACGTCGTTTGTCGTAAGTCTTGTTCTCCATTTAAGAGTTGTGCGAGTTCATGGGTGGATGGACTTGTATGTAGTTTGTCATATTGTTAGAGTTTATCGGTAAAGATTTGGTTAATTTGGTGGACTCACTCTCGCGGAGGGAGATGAAGTCATTGGTTTTTAGTAGTGCTTGTTTGATTAGTGGTTTTGACCAGTGGAATGTGAGGCACGGGTTGCCGAATAAGGATTGTATGTTTCCGATGTTTAGTACTAGCAGTGATGGCTTGGGAATGTGTCGTGAACGGCAGTTTGAAGATGATTAGGTAATGGGATGTGTGTCATATACTCGGATGTTTTTATAGACGTTTGATTCGAGCAGTGTCTTGAGGATAAGTATTGATGTTGCCTTGGAATTTTGTGAGTAAAGAAAGTGTATGTGTGATTCTATTGAGGAATAATAGGAATGATTGACTTTGGTTTTGAAGTTCCAGGTATGAGACAGTCGTATAATGTGTTTTGAAGAAGTAAGAATTGAACCGAATGATGACATGGAGTTGTTTACTTGGTATGGTTGTTATGAGGAGATTAGAGATCTTTTCGCTGGGTGATGATTGTGACGTTTGGTACCGTGTTGTTTCCAGCTTGTTAGGGGTGGTATGATTAAGGTATGATTGGAATTTTTAGAATAGGTATGTGACTATATAACCGTTGTGGTTGCGGAGAGCGATGAATTGATAGTAAGTGAATCTCAAGGTTATTTTGTGGACTGTGTGAGACTGTATTTGAGGTTTGGACCTAAGGACAAGAACGACATTTGTGCTGAGATCAGATCGAGGATGAGAATGGCCTGGCCAACCATTTCTCCTGAATCAATCCCTTTTTAGTACGATGTCGGGTCAAAGGTCGTTGATTGTTCGATTTATTAGGAACAGTGAGAGTACAGTATTGCGAGTTGTGTTGGTGTGACAGTGTGGACTCAGATGATTTGTCTCGGGTGACGAGGTGTGTTAGGTAGGATCAAGTGTCCGATAAAAGGTTGTGGTACCACCATTGATTATTGAAGATCTTCTTTTGAGGATTTGTGACCTGGATACAGGATAGTACGTTTTATTGTTCTGGTGACTCATGATTATGTAGTCGTTGGGAAATCTGTTGTTTTGTCTTCTTGAAGTTGTCTAGTGTAATGATTGCCGAATGGTGCGGTTGGTGGTTGCTTGTACTGATATGTAGTGGTGTAGCTGTGTGTTAAGTAACAAGTGTTGGTCTGATAGAGATGTGTAGATCTGAGTTGAGCTTGATTGTGAGATAGACGGGGTTCCTCGTTTAGGGTCTTGTGTGTTCATTAAAGGATGAGTTGAGATAGGACATTGTCATATTCAAGGGTCCTGTGACCATTCTTCTTTTGGGCTCTGAAGTCTTGTGTAGCGATGTAGAGACGACCAGTGTTGGTTTTAAGTCGAGTGTAAAATCCAGCGAATTTTGTGTAGGATGTTGTGAGTGACGAGTACCCTTATAAGGTAGTGAGTATTGGATTTTTCTGGCAATAATATGTGATTGCCTATTGACATCTGGTGTCAAAGGCAATAAGGTTGTTGAGTTCTTAGTCTTGCGGTTTTGTGAGGTGCTTGTGCGTGTGGGCCTCCTTCCTTAAGGAGGGTAGATTTCGAGGACGAAATCTTTTAAGGAGGGTAGAATGTAATGTTTCCGATTTTCGTAATTTTCTATTTACAAGAATTTTCAGATTTTTCGAGAGTACTTTCGTCTTTTCTCGTTTTACGTGTCGGACACAATAGGGTGTGCCGGGTGTGTCTGAGAGTTTGTTGGGGGGTTTTCCTTGAGTTCAGGACTCTTGAAAATGCATCAGTTGCCATTTCAGTATTTTTTTGTTTTTCGAGCCGCGAAGTCCTATGTGGGACCCATTATCGAAGTCGTTGAACACGGGGATTTTTATTTTGGGTTCATTGCATATCATGCATAATTATTTTGTGCACAATTACATGAGTATATAATTTAATATGTGGTGGTTAATATATATATATATATATATATATATATATATATATATAATGTTAATGTTATGTTATTAAGCTGTGGGACCCGCTATAATGTATAAGCCATTATAATGGTTTTAAGGCCATTTCAAGCATTAGTTTCTTTTTCTCTCTCCCATGCAGACTTTCTGTTTCTCTCACAGTTTTTTCTTTTCTTTTCTTTTTCAACATTATCAAGCTTAGATCAAAGCCACACTTGTGAGAATTAGACTTTGTCGTAAAAAGCAAAGTTGATGAGCGCGTTGAGATCTACGTTTTGATCAGAACAAAGTCCAATTTGGCCACCATTTGGGATTTCAAAATTGGGGTTGTTTTGGGGTTTCTTTGGATTTTACTCTCCATTTGTGGTAGGGGTGCTCTAATACACAATTTCTTGGATTTCTTGTGAAGTTTTCTTTTAATTAGACTCTAAGCATGTTTAAATTTAATTTTTCTTGATTATGTTTATTGTGGTTGTTGGTATTTAAGTGATAAAAGCATGCTAGGTGTTAAGTGAACTTAGAAATATGATGAAACCTTTTGTGGTGAATAAGCATGCTTAGTATTGATGTATTATATGTCTATGTTTTCATATTGCCATGAAAAGTGATGTAGTAATTATGAAAATAAATAATTATATTTTATGTTTTATCTATTTAAGTTGTTGGATTTGCTAATTGAAAGTATGTAAAATGTCATGATTTAGAAAGTATGAGAATGTGATATTGTGTGGGAATTCATATTTTAAGCATGCTTGAATGATGTGAATGAAATGTAGGAAATATCTATATTGTCATGGCATTGAAGGATTTGCATAGTTCATGCTTTATCATTGGGAAAGTAAAAGGGGAAAAGTTTGTTTTAAAAACAAATAAAATTATTTTTGGAAAAAGTTTTTGAAAAATGTTGTGAAAACCCGGACTCTTAGGAGGCGCCTAGTGGTTCGTGGTGTTAGTGTGATCTAGAGGGGAGCTAGAGAGAGACTCTAGTGTGGTTGAGTTACCTAGGCCCATACGACGCCATGAAAGTGCCATGTGGTCAAGGAAAGCTAGCCAACCCTCCCTCGTGACGCCTTGGAGGTGCTTTGGGTCGGATTGCACTAACGGTTTGGAGGATTAAAACGGTATCGTTTTGGAAATGTGGAGCAACATTACATGGCATAGCATTGCATTGGCATACATTGTACATTTGGTGGTTAGACGAATTCAGTATGCATTTGTGGTATTATTGTTATTTTGCTTGTTTTCCCTGAGGCATAACCCCACTTACTTATACCCTATTCCTTATGTGGATTCACAGGGTCATAAGAAATGTGTCTTAAACACTTCCTACTGAGCTTATGATCACCCCTTTATTATTAACATTTTCCAAGATACGGAAGGGAAGTGGCGAATAACGCTCCTCCACAGGGTTCGATGGGTTTGTGGACTGTTTTAATGTATTTTGTAACTATGATCTCTTTTTATTATTATTGCTATTACTTCTTTTTTTTTTTTTTTTTTTTTTAAACACTAAAATGATACGTATATTATGTATTGACATAGAAAAGGACGGTAATGTCTTTAGTTAACCTTGAGTTTGGGTAAAGACCCGGGTAACGATTCTGACCCTCGAATTCGTGTCGTTACAACATCTATTGATCAATTTCTTTCGAAGATGAAGAACAATGACTACTTGCAAAAATGTGTCAAACTGTATTTGAACATTGATCAACAGTGGGAAGATGAAAAACAAAGACAACTATAGTGCAGGAGGAATTTCATGTTAAAAATTATAAATAAAAAAATTATTTTTTATTATTTTATATGTTATATTTTAAAATTTGAATTGCAATGTCATTTTCAATATTTGATGGGTTAGAGTTGTATTTGTCAATTTGTAATCTAATTAGCAATATAATTTTATACAGTTCGTGTTTTCCAACTTACCTGGATGAATTTCGGAAAGTTAAAACCATGTAAATTATAAAAATAATGGGTTACTAGAATTTGATGGAAAAAAAAAAAAAAAAAAATTGAACATGGTTGAATGATCAAACATGGCAGTTCAACGCCATCCTACTGCATTATATATGACTGGAAAAAAAAAAAAAAAAAAAATCAAATGTGATCTCAAGTGCTATTAGTAGGTTACGGAACAAAGAAAAAAAAATATCCTGTAATTCTCTTCCAAATAAAATAAGCAAGCGACTTACTAGTGAGATAAACGAAAAACACAAAAATTCCTTATTTTCCAAAAACCAAAAAAAAAAAAACAAAAACAAACTCAGAAACGAAAAAGAAGAGTGAATGGGCACGATTACTTGATATATTAAGAAACATTTCGAAAAATCCTCCGTTCTCAAGAAACAAGCTCATTTAGTTAGTTTCAAGGTATTGGTAATTAATTTTGGTGAAATTATAGACCCCAATTGGATAACAAGTAATTGAATAACCTATTAGACTTGTGACAACGATGCAACAGCTTTAAGGTTTACCAACATGACTAAGCCAGAGAAGCAAATTTGCTCCAATTTTGAAGTGTTTTAAAAGAGGGAGTAAACATCTAGCAAAAATATTACTCTCTGTAAAATTTGAATCAATGAATACATGATACACCAAACCCCACTCTCTCCCCATCTTCAATTCAAATTGCAGCTTGTACAGAATTTATTTTGAATTTCAGGAATTACTCTAGATGCAAAAATAAATAAAAAATAAAAAAGAAGAAAAAGAAAAAGAAAGAAACATCTCTTATGCACCATATAAGCTACCGGAACATTGTTTATCGTGCAGCTTCATTTCTATATCCAGTTCTTAACACCGGTTGCTGCATGTAGTTCAATTTTTTCAATCTCAACTCTGTCCAATACCTATAAAAAATAAAGCCAAAATGTAAATAAATAGGCTGCATATCGCACCTCAAACTCAATTACTTTAATTAAACCAAAAAAGGAAAGAAAATAATAATAACTCATTGTCAAACGTAACCAACCTTTAACCTTTGAACAGTCTTAATTTCATAGGTCTCACATAAACATCATTTTAGGTTTCAAACAATCTAAATTACATAGTTTCTGATAAAGCAGCCTTCTAGGCAACAAGAGAACTAACATGTTGCTACGACTCATGCTCATTTGAGAGATCATAATATGACTTGCTCTTGAGTACTGATTATAATTGACCACCTTCAACATTTCATGAAAGGTATGTAGCAAGAATATTATTAGCAAGCAAGAAAAATACCTTTGGCAATAATCAAACTCAACAAAAGAGAGGATCCCCACCCCATCCAAGGCAATATTAGAAATTAATCCATACCTTTGCACTGAATCAGCAGCATTCATCTCATCTGCAATATTTTGTCGTACACGTGTGTATGGCATTTCCGGTATTGTCATTTCTGATGCGCACCTTAACACGTCCAATACTTCCAAATATTTCAAAGACTCAAGGCCCTCAATCTTATGCAAGTTCTCGCAATCACGCAAATCCAAATATTTCAGCGATTCCAATCTGTCAAACCCTTGGATCTTATCAAGTTCTGAACAATTACAAATAGATAATGTTTCCAACTTCTTTAGGTTTGACAAATTCGGCATGTTTTCAGAGGTAGCTAGCATGTTGCATGCATATATGTACAAACTTGTCAATGATTCTAATTTTCCAATCCCTTGAACCCTTGCTAGCTCATCGCAATTCATAAGCAACACACTTGACAAATTTATCAAATTTGATAGATCTGGCAATCTTTCCAATGAATCACAACTTGCAATATATAACTCAACTAGACTTGAGGGTAACCCCAATATACATTGGAGATTGTCACAGAATCGTAAATCAAGCACCTTCAGCTGAGAAAGGACACCCACATCTTCGGGTAGGGACCTTATGTTGGTATGATCCAAGGTCAGTTTCTCCAATTTGGATAATCTCCCAATATCTCTGGGCATATCCACAACACTATCGCACTCAAAGAATTGCACTTCCTGTAAATTAACCACACTTGTAAGGTTAGGGATATAACCGACATTCAGAATACTTAAACTTGAGGGAAGCTCTGGCTGCAATTGAAGCTCTGTGCAGCCTCCAATGTTAAGGGTTTGGAGGTGAGTAAGCCCCGAAATGCTTGCTGGAAGGCTTCGAATTTTGGAACCATAAAAGCTCAAGAATCTCAAAGATGATAGTCCGTTGATATTACTAGGAATGTCCACGTCCAACTTACTACACTCTGTGAAGTCCATCACTTCCAAATTCTTCAACTCCCAAATTTCATCAGGTAACTCCCTTATATCAGCATATGAAATGTCTAGTACTTTCAAATTCTTTAGATTGCCAATGGACGGGTCAATATTTTCTAAACTTGTACAGCGTGCAAGAATCAATATCTCCAAAGCTGCATCTGATGAAAAGTTGGGAGTTCTTGTTAAAGCACAATCAGCCATTCCTAGAACTTTTAACTTTTTTGCCGTCTGTTAAAAAAAAAAAAAAAACAGTTAATTAATTTCAAACTAGTATGTGATGGACACCAGAAACAAAAGTTACAAGAGGTATTATACAAGACCTGGATTTGATTCCAAACTCCCAATTTTTCTGTGATGCCACTATCTGATAGATCAAGAATGACTAGATTCCTCATATGAAATTTCAATTCTTTTAAATCCCGAGGGCAACCACGCCAACTAAGCCATCTTAAGGACAACAATACACGACTAAAATTCCCTCTAAGGTCTGCCCCATCCACTCGCAGATACCTTAGATTTTTCAGTTTAGTGAATTTGTCACTTTTAAAGCAATGCTTCTTTTCAGAATCCAATGCAAAGCGAAGACTTAGGGCCTCAACCTTTGCTGTTCCCTGCCAATGAAAAGAATTAAGTTTAAATTTTTTGCAGATTTAACAAACAATTATACTTTAATCAAATGAGAGAAATAAAGTTCAGTGCACTCAGATTTTACCTTCCCATCCTCTAATAATTCAAAGGCTTCCACGTGATTCCACAATCTACTACGGTTTTCAGGAAAAATGACTTCATTGACGATTTTCTTCCCAAGAGCTCTAAGCTGATTGTGCATCCACAACTCATTAGCATTTCTCACTTTCACAAGGGACATGTCATGAAGATCATCAAATTCTGTCTTCGGAAAATAGCCACCATTATTCCACATGTAAAATACAGTTGTTTTATCCATCCCAGCGAAAAGACATGCAATATCGAGAAAGATTTGTTGTTGCCTCTTATTTAATGCTTTATAATCTACTCTCAACTTTTTCCAGACATCATCATTCAGTGTTTCTGCCAACTTCTTTGGTGCATCTTCCCATATCTCTGAAACGTTTGTCTTGCGTAGAGACAAACCAGCATACTCGAGAGTTAGAGGAAGGCCTCCAGCAACGGATGCAATCTCTCTAGAGATACTAACATAATTTTTTGGAGGGAACTCCGTGCCGAAGGCATGCTTACTAAAAAGTCGAAGAGATTGCACAGCATTCATAGTTGGGATTTCATAAGTCCAGTTAACATCAAGATCATCTAAAATGCTTTTGTTTTTGGTTGTAACTATGATCTTACTTCCCTTACGGAAGCAATCACGCCAATCACACCCTCCCACAAGACAATGAAATTGTGAAATGGAATTCACATCATCAAGAACAAGGAGAACTTTCTTGTTACAAAACTTCTTTTTAATAATGGCTATTCCTCTGTCAACATTAGCAATGTCACGCCTCCAATTTAGTGTGTCAGCGAGAAGCTGTTTTTGCAAACTAACAAGACCCTGGATTTCTTGTGCCATTTTTTGAACGTCAAGAAGGAAACTACAACATTCAAAATTTTCCAGTACTTTGTTGTAGATGAATTTGGCAACAGTTGTTTTGCCAATACCAGTCATGCCATGGATACCAACAATTCGTACATCATCAAAGGCAATATCTAATAGCCTCATCATTTCTTTTTCGTGATGATCAATTCCAATCAAGTTTTTAGTTACAACCATGACTTTCGTACACAACACAGACAACACTTCTGGAATAATTTTATCTCTTATTAGTTTTCCTTGATACCTGATTAATGCCAAGGGGGCCGAATGAGACAAAATAATTAGCAAATAGAACGAAATTGAAGAGAAAAATAAGAGAAAAAAAAATGATGATTTATTTTATTTTGTTTTTTCTGTGTAGGTTATTCATAAGCTCAACTCTAACAAAGACCCACTAGTTACAAATGCCTCTAAGTTGGACTTGAATCCTCAACCTTCCATTTGGAAGGAGGAGGAGATAGCAAATGAGTTGAAGAGTTGTGTTAAAAAGGACAATGCTTGCATCCTGCGGGCGGAGGATGGACTTCATCCTCCGCGCTGACGTGGCCTCTTATCTTGTTGACACTTGTCTAAAATAAAATAAAAAAAATAATAAAATAGGCAATGCCCATTTATCCGGGTTAAACCCGTTCCTCTAAATCAGTATCTTCTCCCTCAATAACTCATCTCTCTCAACCACCACCGTCAAATCCTCCTCCCTAGCCCCCGCCGCCCTCAAAATCAAATGGGCTCAAATGGACACCACCAACGACGACTCCAGTACCACCACCAATATTGGTGGCTGTGCTCCAGTACCATCATCCGAAGGCAAGCTCACCACTGCCAGCACGCCGCAAACCACCCCATTGCGGCTGAGTCCTCTCCACAGCCCGTCACCCACCGCTGCGAAAGCTCGCCATCGCCGTCTCGCTCCTATCTAAGCACTGCCGAAGTTCATCTACAACCCATCTTGCCCGTTGTTCTGTCAATCGCCCGCGTGCATAAGCTGCCGTCACCAACGCCGGATCCGTCGCCGCGAACCACCCCATCGCCGCTGAGTCCTCTCCACAGCCCGTCACCCACCGCTGCGAAAGCTCGCCGTCGCCGTCTCCGTCTCGCCCCCATCCGAGCACTGCCGAAGGTCGTTGTCATACTGGGTTCAGCAAATCACGGCTGTCCATCGACCTCGCCACCCGATTCTTCCCCTCCGAGGTCATCAACTCTGATAAAATCCAAGTCTACATTGGACTCGACATCACCACAAACAAGATCCCAATGCGCCAACGACTCAGAGTCCCACACCACCTGCTCGACGAGTTCGACCCAGATGAACCCGAGTTGACCCCCTCCGAGTTCCACTCACTCGCCGCCTCCACCACCTTTGACATAGCCTCGCGCCGAAACCTACCCCTCATCATAGGTGGGTCCAATTTCTTCATCTACGCACTCATCTCGAACCGATGCAACCCTGATTCGGACGTTTTCGACGATTCATGAAGAACAGATTCAATCTGTACGGACCTCCGTTACGGTTGTTGCTTTCTATAGGTGGATGTCTCTTTGTCAGTGTTGAATTTGGATGGGTATGTTTTAAAACATACCATCTCCGTTGCGATTGTTGCTTTCTATGGGTGGATGTCTCAAAACTTTCGTGATTTTGAGGGCGGCGGGGGAGGAGGATTTGACGGTGGTGGTGTGGTGGTTGAGAGAGATGAGTTATTGAGAGAGAGAGAAGATACTGATTTAAAGGAACAAGTTTAACCCGGATAAATGGGCATTGCCCATATTTTATTATTTTTTATTTTAGACAGGTGTCAACAAGATAGGAGGCCACGACAGCGCGGAGGATGAAGTTCATCCTCCGCCTGCAGGATGCAAGCATTGTCCTTTTAAAAATGATGCGACCTTCCTTCTGGAGGAGGTCTTGTACCAGCCGGGCTATTGCCCATTTAGTAGGTTATGAAATCGTAGTGTTATAAAATAAGGGATTTTTGTTTTAGCAAAGAGTGAATTACCCATTAGCAGCTTTTTCCAGTTCCCAACCCTTGAGTTGTCCAACGTCCTTCAATGCCTTCTTCCATTGCTCAATAGTCTCGTCACTGAAATTCCCAGATTCCTTGTGCTTCTTGATGGCCTGCTCGTAAGTACTCCCAGCTGGTTGATGCTTCACTTCCTCGGGTGTGACATCGTAGAAGACCGGTAAAATCTTTTGTCGCATACTTCTCTTGCACTCCACCATCTGGGTGAGCTCCATAAGGCACCATTTACTGCAAGCATACTTTTTGGAGAATATTGGGATGGAAATACTGGACTCCGTGATTGCTTTGAGGAGATCAGGGCCGATCTTTTCTCCTTGACGAAGCTCGTCAACATCTCTAAAGGTACGAACTCCTTTGTCAATGAGAGAAGTGTATAAGAAATCAGCAAAGCTGTAGCGAGTGTCTGAGCCACTGAAACTCAAGAAGACTTGGTATTCGCCTCCTGGAAGTGACGTGGATGAAGAGTCCAAAGCAGTATCTGCATCTGCTTCGCCTCCTGGAAGTGATGTGGATGAAGAGTGTGTGGCAGTATCTGCATCTGCCCCTCTGTTTTTTACAGGTACAGTTCTCCTCTTTCTTGTACCTGACTCGGACTCCATTTGAGATTCAATCGGCCTCTTTCTTTTCTGCTCCATTGATGTGCAACAATGCGGAGAAGCTAAATGTTCTATGAGTATTGTATTACCAATCCCCAATCAAATACTAGAAGAAACTCAATAGATCTCCCCATTTCTCATTAGTGTTTGAGCAGTGGATCTGCAAATTAAGGCATCCAAACAGAACAATTATCTACCTGAGCTATATCCCACATAAACAGAACAATTAGTAATGCTAATTTTTATATTTAATCACTGAACCACATAAACAGAGCAATTAGTAATGCTAATTTTTATATTTAATCAATGAACCACATAAACAGAACAATTAGTAATGCTAATTTTTATATTTAATCACTGAATTGAAAGGTATATTAAATAATTCATTTGAGTTTTCACAAATTTCAAAAATTTGTATCCAATACCGTAGAAGGCTAGAAGCGCTATGAATCTTGTACTGTTATCTAAAAGGGAAAAATAAAAATAAAAAATCTTAACTTTCAGCTACCTGTACAATGCTGTGACTCTTGCGCTACTTCAGCAACAATATGATCAAAGCTAAATCAATGAAGGTGCAGCAACTAGCGAGTGTCTGGCCTCTGAAACTCACAACAAAAAATCGCATTTGCGCCTGAATCCATTGTGTGCGAGGAGAGTACTTCAACGTCTAACCATCTAAATTATCTTGGCTAGTCAACGGCAACAAGTCAACTTCTTTGGCCAAAGTGGGTGCTGTCTAGGAACTCATCCACAAAGTTATGCCAGAAAGTCATCACCAATTCGGGTTTAACCAAAAAAAAAAAAAAAAAAAATTCAATTAGTAGCAGATCGTGTAAAAATAAATCGACTGGCTTAACCATGTGCAATGAGTCCCACCAGGAGTCAATATTTGTCACACCCCACCGCCAAGGTTCCTGTTATTATGCCTCTAAGCAACACCACCAGCGAGCAGTTCAATTATTGACATACAAAGAGCGTCTAAAAAAAAATTTCTTCCTTTCGGGTAAGTGCCAAATAATTTTAAAATAGAAACGTAAATTAGAGTTTTTAAACCAATAAATTTATTGAATTAGCACGCAACATCTCAGGGTCGCCTAAGGGAAAAATTTGATAACACTTGCATGTATGAACATCCCCCAATTGTGTGTGTGTGAAAATTGTGTATGTCTGAAAATGTAGACGTATTTTAACGTCCCCCAACCATATGCTCATGCTAATTTAGGAGACCCCTCCAGAGGGCTTACAGTTTGGGTGTTTACTCGTGTGAATGACCGTTTCACCGTTCTTTTTAAGGTTTCTTTTAAAAGAGTAATAATTTTGATACTGCTTCCTTTAGACTCGTGGTAACTGATGTTTTTTCCTTTTGTAGATAGGGGAACTCTTCCAACCATAACCTGAATGCAGACATATAAAGAAGTGAATATATATATTTTCCGAAGTCAAATATTATTAAGCCAACAAGCCAAAACAGCAAACAAGAGTACAAGACCTGAAACAACTATACAGTGAATGAATCACTATAATGCAAATACAGGTTGAAAAATAACCAATTCCAAAGACCATATACAAGGAATAACAGAAAAAGAACTGGACACCCCATCAGCTCTGCAGAAAGGATGTAGGGGTTCTTGGAAACAAAGCTGATCTTTTTCTTTGGATCCTACCAATTGAAACCACAATCAATCCAGCAACTGAACTCTGATATCTTGAAATTCAAAAGCAACTGAACCCTTAAAAAAACAAAGGAATTCCATGAATCATCAACCAGAAAGGCATGCACAATAATAATATCAAATATACAGCCCCTTCAGATTATTACTCCACACGAGCAAGCAAACAATTAATAAAGAAGTGAATATTAACAAGCAATCAAGAACAATCCCTCTTGCCCAAAAAAAACAAAAAAAGGAAGAGTAAATATTTAAAATAAATCAATACTTGTGTATACATTGAAGATCGTGAGAGAATCATGCAGCAATCACCTTAACTTGAGAAAGGACATGAATGTCTTCTGATAGACTCCTTCATGTTGGTAGAATCCAATGCCAAATTCTCCTTAAGCTTGGCCGACACTCTGGCTGCGATTTAAGCTCCATGCAGCCTCCCAATTTAAGAGTGTGGAGGTAAGAAAACTCCCAAATGCTACATTAGTAGGATTTAAATTTGGTTATCATAAAAGCTCATAGATTATAGCCTCCCCATATTACTAGAAATGTCCCTGAAATAACTACAATATTTTCAATCGCTTTCAACTTCTCTAACAATGTTTCCAATTACTTTCAGATTCTCTAACATCAAAATTTCATCAGGTAACTTCCTTATATCAGTATATGAAATGTCCAGCACTTTTAATTTCTTCAGATTACTAATGGATTCAATTTCAACCAAACTTCTACAGCGTCGAAGAATCAATATCTCTAGAGTTGTGTATGATGAAAAGTCTGGAGTTCTCTTTAAAGCACAATTAGCCAGTCGTAGAACTTTCAACTTATATGCCATCTGTTAGATAATAAATAACAAAAAAAGATTAATTTTATACCAGTATATGAGTAGATAGAAGAAACAAAAGTAGAGATATTATACAAGACCTTGATTTGATTCCAACCCCCCCAGTTCTCTGTAATGCTGCTATCAGATAGATCAAGAATGACAAGATTCTTCAAATGAAAATTGGTTGGTTTAAAATGCGGAGGGCAACCACGCCAACGAAGCCATCTTAAACAGGGAAACAGATCCTCAAAATCCCCAACAAGCTCTATGCCATCAGCTCGGAGATACCTTAGAGATGCTAGTTTTGCAAATTCCTTACTTGTAAAGCGTGGCTTCATTCCAGACCCCAATTCAAAGCAAAGACTTAGGGCTTCAACCTTTTCCGTTCCCTGCCAATGGAAAAAAGAAGCTTACAACATATTAGGACCAGATTTCACAGCCTACTACATTTAACTAAAGAACGGGTATAAAATTCAGTACACTCAAATCTTACCCTCCGTCCCACCAATACGTCCAAGGCATCCGCATGGTTCCACAACCTACTACGCTTTCCCAAAATCTTTTCTTCATAAATGATTTTCCTACCAAGAGTTCTGAACTGATCATGCATCCTCAGCTCATTAGTATCTTTTTCCACTTTTACAAGAGACGTGAGACAAAGGACATTAAATTCCTTTCCTGGATGATAGCCACAATCATCCCACATATAAAATACAGTTGCTTTATCCATCCCAGTAAAAAGACATGCAATATCAAGAAATATCTGTCGTTGCGGATAACTTAATGCTTCATAACTTACCCTCAACTTTTGTTTTCCCTGAATGCTTACCCTCAACTTTCTCTCAACTTCATCATGAGATGTTTTTTTCAGCTTCCACGATGTATATTCCCATACCACTTTCTCTTTGTTAGAAAGAAACGAACCGATGACCTCAAGAGCTAGAGGAAGCCCTGCAGCATTAGATGCAATCTCTCTAGAGAAACTAACATAGCCTTCTGGAGGAAACTTCCTTCTAAACGCATGAATACTGAAAAGTTGAAGAGATTGCATATAATTCATAAATGGAGGTTCATAAATTGCATCCACTTTAATATCATCTAAAACATTCCTGTCTTTACTTGTAACTATGATCCTACTTCCTGAACCAAACCAGTCATGCTTTCCCACAAGCCAGGAAAATTGAGATCTTTCAATCACATCATCAAGAACAACAAGAACTTTCTTTGTGCGAAATATGTTTTTAATCACATCCATTCCACCTTCAACATGAGAAATGTCGGGACACCATTTTAGGGTGTCAGTGAGAAGCTTTTTCTGCAACTCAACAAGACCATAAAATTGCTGCGCTGTTTCTTGAATATCTGCAAGGAAGCTATGACTTTCAAAGCTCCCTTTGAGAGCATCATAGATGAACTTGGCAATAGTTGTCTTGCCAATACCTCCCATGCCATGGATACCAACAATCCTTACATCATTGGAGCCAATATCTAGCAATCTCATCATTTCATTTTCGTGATGATTGATTCCCACCAAAATGTCAGTCTTTTTTAACTCTAACAACACTGCTGGAATGATCTTCTCTTTTCTTAGTCTTCCTTGATACCTGATTGACGTGAACCAGAAAAAAAAAAAAAAAAATGTATAGCAGGAAATAAAATTTAAAATGAGGGAAAAGGACGATGACTTTTTTCATTTTTGTTTGGACAATACTTGTCTTAGGCCACATAAGAAGGAACTTCCTTCTTATGGGTGATGCGGCCAATAAAAGACTGCCATGTGTCCCAAAATTATATAATATTTAAAAAACAAAAATGAATAAAATCCATTTTCGATGGGTTAACCAACTCATATATATAAGATATATATATATATATATATATATATATATATATATATATAGAAAGAAAGAGGGATTACAGATTGAGGAATGTTTCATTCCAAAGCTCTAATCACCGCCACTCCCCACCCACTGCCGCTGCCGCCGCCTCTCCCCACCTGCCGCCAGCAGCCACTCTCTCTCTCTCTCCACACTGCTCCCTCTCTTCTTCTTACTATACTTGGATTGAATTAGGGTACACCCATCATGGAAAAGGGAATAAGAATTATAGATCTTCTCTTATTTTTCACCGCCACTCCCCTAGAATTATAGGGTTGTGGTTGAAGGGTATAAAATCTTTATTGGAGCCAAATATGGTACCATAGAGAGAGAGAGGACTGCTTTGATGAGGAAGAAAGGGGGCAGATGGATGATAAGATTGTGAATATTAGGTTTTTGATGTTCTGTAATGTGAATGAGTAATTTTGTATATGCAATATGAATTCTACCCAAGTTAACCCATAAAAAATGGGTCTGATCCTTTTTTAATTTAGGACAAATGTCAGTCTTTTATTGGTCCACATCGCCATAAGAAGGAAGTTCCTTTTTATATGGCCTAAGGCAAGCATTGTCCTTTTTGTTTTAAGTTATTATTATTCCTTTTTATATGGCCTAAGGAAAGTACAGGTACACTAGGGTTTTTGGTACAAAGCTTTGTGAAGGAAGGCAAGTCTTCATCATGGAGGAGGTCAGCCCTCGTTCAATATGCTGCCAGGAATGAATACCCGTCAACATCCTAACCCACGTCCAACATGGAGTTCTTTGGTTTCCGTGAGGATCGCAGAAGTTGGTTACGAATCCAAGTTACTAATGTGAATGCAAGGAAATGGAGAAGGTTCTTGTTCGAGCACGATTGAAATCGATGTACAAGGTGAGTTTCCAGATCATATTACCACTGTTATTCATGATCAATAATGTGTAGTAAATATAGAATATGAATGGAGGCCACAGTTTTGTAATAAGTGCAAACGTGTGGATCATTTGGAATCCAATTGTCCTGATAAGGTTAAGAAGCCAGAGATGAAATCGGAGATTACTGAACAATGGGTTGTTAAAAAGCGTGGTAAATTAGTTCCTGTGGATACTAGTGTAGAAGCTACTGTTGAAGGCTTGGTTGATGAGACCAACCCTTTAAATGAATGGGGTACTTCTGATGTTCCAATGGAGACTATTCCAAACTATTCGATGAATTAACAAGGAAGGTAAAGGGGATGAGGAGGTGGATAATTCTCTGTTGCTTCCAGTTACATTCAGTGCAGAGGTTGCTGGAGTGAGGTCTCACAATTCTTTTGCAGCCTTAGAAGTTATTGCAGATGAAGAACAAGGAGGAGGAAAAGTGGATGTTCAGTTCTCCATGGATGTTTCAAGTACTGCTGAAGTGGATAAGGATGGTTTCATAATGTCCATTTCTGGGAAAAAGAAGGCAAAACAGAAGAAGCAGCAGCAATTGGTTCAATCAGATAGAATTGCAAGGACAAAGGCTGAAGGTGATCTTGGATTAGAGCTTTTAATCTCTCTTGTATCAGTTTAGTGGAAACTAGAGGTAGAGGTCAAATTTTTGAAGTTATTAGGCCTCATTGGTGCTGGATTGGAAATTATTCATCTGATGTTCATGGTAGAGTTTGGATTGGTTGGAATTCTAACGTTTTTAAGGCGGATTGGGTGGAGGAGGACTTTCAGTTTATTCATCTTAGATTGACTGTTTTAGCTACTCAGCAATTTTTCTTTCTTTCTACCATTGCAGAGAGAAGAAGATTATGGCAAGGTATCGTATGTCAGTACCAGTTGGTTAATGGGCCTTGGTTGGCCATTGGAGATTGGAATGCTGTGAGAGCTCATGGGGAGAAGCTGGGTGGTTTAAGGGTCCCTCAAGCCATTCTTAATGAGTTTAATGAAGTGCTGCATAGTTGTGGTTAGTGGATCTAGATATCCCTAATGGTGGGTGGACTTGGACTAATAATCAATCGCAACTGTGCAAAATTGCATAGGGTACTTGTTAACTCTCAATGGCATGCTTCATTTTCCGAACTCTAAATTGTTTCTTACAGCAGCTTCTATTTCTGGCCATTATGGTATGATGGTGTATTCTTCTGTTCATTGCTCAAATGGGCCTCAACCTTTCAGGTTCCTCAAATTTTGGTGTTTGATGGATGAGGTGGAAGGTATTGTGGCTAGATTTTGGAATTCTTCAGTTCAAGGCAACCCTGTTCATCAAGTCATGAAGAAGTTGAGATTATTAAAAGAAGAATTGAAAATACGGAACAAGACCAAAGGTAATGTTACTGATAAGGTGGAGAAGTGCAGAAAAATTTATTTGAAATTCAACAAAAGCTGCAGCTGGACCCATTAAGTGATGAACTTATTATGTAGGAACGCAAAGCTAGGAAAGAATTAGAAGTACCTTTGAGGTATGAAGAGGTGCTTTGGGGTCAGATATCCAGAATTCAGTGGTTCCAAGAGAACAACAGATGCACAAGGTATTTCCACCAGAAAGTGAAACAGAGAAGAGCTCATAATTTTTTTTTTTTTTTTTTTTTTGATAAGTAAGATTTTATTGAAAACGCTCAAAAGGGGAGCGGAACCCAAAGAAACACAATGGCCAAAAGGCGCCTCAAACCTTCAAAGAGGCCAAAAAAACAATAATCTCCTCAATAGATCTATAATCTCTCCCTGAGACCCAACAAAAAAAATTGGAAATAATAGAGAAGAGCTCATAATTCAATTTCTATGTTACAGAATGAAGCTGGGGACTGTACTATGGATCAAGACACTGAGAGACAGTGAGTGGTGGACTTCTATATAGATTTATATTCTGTTAACGCAACTACTGCCCTCTTATGGATGGTTCTAGGAGTAAGGTTAGTGAGGCGGAAAGAGGTTTTCTGGAAGCTCCCATGACTGAAGATGAAGTCAAGCAAGTGGTTATGAACTTTAAGCCAGACAAGTCTCAGGGACCTGATGGTTTTCCTTATAGATTTTTTCAATCCTACTGGCATATCCTCAAGGTAGATGTTGTGGAGGCAGTTAAGTCCTTCATTATCTCTTTCTTCCTTTTTTTTTTTTATAAGTAGTCCTTCTTTATCTCTTATTTTATGCCTCAAGGTTTGAATAGTACTTTCATAATTTCATTACATTGATCCAAAAAAAGAATGATAGTCTTAAGGTTACAGACTTCAGGGCTGTCTCCTTATGCAACTACACATACAAGAACACTGCAAAAATCATTGCTCACAGATTGAGCAAGTTATTGTCTGAGCTTGTTGGTTGGGACTTCGGAGCAGGCTGCTTTTATCAAGGGTAGGAAGGTTCAAGGTAACATTATTTTAGCTAGTGATATTCATAAAGGTTTTTCTAGTAAAGCTTTTTGTGATGCTGTTTCCTGAATTTGGTTATGTCGCAACGACCCGACAACCCGTTGATTGAACTTTGTGTGGGCCCAAGCCCACTAAAGCTCTGGGGTTCGGGGGCAGCGCCCTGAGAACATATTTTGACCCAGTTTTATGCTTGCAGGTCGTGGACCCTATTTAGTACTTTCTTGTAGCCCGGTATATAAGGCCGCTTAGGGTTTGGAGTGGAATGATTGAGACACTGAAAATCGTAGAGAGTGAGAGTGAGAGTGAGAGCTAGGGTTTGGGTGCTGAAACTTGTAATCTCCTATTTTTCGCATAGTGAAAACTTTTGCCACACCTCCACCGTGGACGTAGGCTTTGCCGAACCACGCTAAATCTATGTGTTCTTTGTGTGTGCAATGGTATGGCTTTGGGGAGAAATGGGCTAAATGGGTAATGCAACGTGTCTCTTCAGTAAAGTTCTCTGTCCTTGTAAATGGAGTGCCTTCAGGGTAGTTTTCTTCTGGTAGAAGGTTGAGGCAGGGTTGCCCTTTCTCTCCCCTTCTTTTCTCCTTGTTACTGACTTGTTTTCACGGTTGATGAATAAAAGAGTAGCCGAAGGAAGGCTGGAATTATATTCTTCCAAGTTCTGTCACTAAAGTGAGCAAAAATTTCTCATTTTTTCTTTGCAGATGAATCACTGTCTTTCTGAAAGCTAGTATTTCAAATGCTAGAGCTCTGCATGATCTTCTTTCTAAGTTTGGGGATATGTCTGATCTCAGGGTTAAGCAATCTAACAGCATTTTATTTTTCTCCTAGTCTATGAAGAGGAAGAAAGGCATCCAAAGGATTTTGAATTCAAAGTGGGTGTCCCCGCCGCTCCATTCCTATTCCCTTGGTTGGGGAAGTTCTGTTAAAACTTCCCGTGTTTAATGAAGATTAGAATTAGACCGCTCATCCATATTGATCAGTTCGGATGCTTTACATTCCTTAGTTTGCTGCATAAGAGGTCTCAACCTGCCGTTTGGAAATCTTCCTTCTCTGGGCATGGCTAAGCGTTAAGAAATGGACGCTGAGATTCTTTTTTAGGAAGATAGAAGCTGTGTTTGAGCTTTGGGGTTTTTGGCTGCAGGAGCAAGAACAGACAAAATATTTCATATATTCCATGAACGGAACAGGGGAGGAGTCGGTCGTTGTGGTCGACTCACTTGGTGCTTGGCTACAGAAACGACTTCACTTTTTATTCACGACATATAAATCTGGTCTGCTATTCCCACTGCTCTTCAAGGGCATCTAGACAGGAAGATTAGAAACATTATTTGGGGTTATTTGGTGTTTTGGGGGGGGGGGGGGGGGGGGGGGGGGTGGGGGGGTGGGGTGAGAGATTCTATTAGTAAAGTTATTCATCCTCTTAAATGGAGTTCAGTTGTTTTGCCTAAATCAGAGGGTGGTTTGGGGTGAGATCCGTAGCTAGTATTGATATTGCTACTAAAGTTTGCCTTGCTTGGGATTTCACTCAGTCTAAGGAAACCTTGTGGATTGCGGATTGCCTGGTTTAGAGATGAGTACACAAAAAAGTTAAACTTTTGGAACTGTATTCCAAAGTCAGGTGATTCGACAATATGGAGAAGTATTCAGTCTGTTAGAGAGAAACTGCAGGATAATATAACCTTTCAGATTCAGAATGACAGAAGCTTCAGTGTATTTTTCGATCTATGGTTTACTGGGGTGTGTATAGCTAGAGCTTTTGGCCTCAGAAGGTTGAGAGGATCAAATTTTCAGTTAAATGTTGTGCTTGCAGATTTGTTGATTACAGGGCAGTGGAATATTCCAAGCTTTTGGCCTGCAAAAGTCACTGATTATCTTCAAAGATTTCAGAATCATATGAAGGAAGATAAGATCACTTGGAAGCATGGCAGGTTTTGTTTCAAATCTATCTGGAATCAATGCATATGTAGACATGAGAGTGTTTTTTGGTATCCTTCGGTTTGGAATAAATGCAAGCCAAGTGTATCTTGCACTGTAACACTTATTCTGCAGAATGCAATTTTGTCTCTTTCAAGCTCAAGGTTGAAAGTATTGTCACAAATAGCAATTTCTCATCATTGCTGGAGAGTTGAAGACTCATTGGATCACCTTTTTTGTGCTTGTTCTTTAGCTAGGGAGGAGTGGTCATGGTTCAGTTTCTTCTGTAATTGAAATATTCTGCAGATGCAGAGTTTAAAATAGGTGATGAACTGGTTTATCATTCAAACATCTTTAGATACTACAAAATCAAAGCTTTTCAAGTGTTTCTTCACTTTGATTCTTTGAAACCGTTGGGGTGAAAAGAATAGTAGGTTGCATGATGGTCACATTAGAGATGGAAATCAAATTGCCAGACAAGCTTTCTTGGAGGGAATTCAAACTTCGGGACTGACTTTACCGGATAGTTCATATATTTTCTGATTCTCGATCTTGGTTTTTGTCTTTCTAAAAAGTGTTGGCCTGTGTATTCCCTTCCAACTCCTTTAATTTAATATTTAGATTTTCTCAGTTTCTTTCGGATATGGTATGCCCTTCCATTTTTGTACTTGCTGTTTGTTTGTCATTTTTATTTTATTTTTTATTTTTATTTTATTTTTTATTTTTTATTTTTGCTTTTGGCTAGCTTTCCAATGTACTATTTTGCTCTATGTGTATAATGAAATAAACCACATTAGAAGGGGAAAAAAAATGAATTATATAGTATTTCTAAAATTATTTTAGGCACTAGCTCACTCACAAAACCAATAGTCTTATAAATCTTCTAATATTTTGCATCTGTATGTAATTTGATCTTTAATTTATCCCTCCCATTACCTAAACCTTCTTGCATATTCCTTGTGATTACTTAAATTGCAAGACTGAAGATTCTATACTTCAAATAATGCGATTATTAGCACGTATCAAAAATAAATAAATAATGGGATTATGAGCACGAAGGAATTAACATACCCGTAAGTTTTTTTCTTCACTTGCCAACCCTCGAGAGCTCCAACCTCTCTCAATGCCGCCTTCCATTGCTTAACAGTCCTTTCGTCAAAACAGCTCTGGTGCTCGCGTAAGGCCTCCTCGTAACTCCCAGTTTGATGCTTCACATCAGAGGGTTTCACGTCGTAGAAAATGGGCAAAATCAATTGTCCCGTAGCTCTCCTGCACTCCACCATCTGTGCGAGCTCGCGGAGGCACCATTTACTGGAAGCATAGTTCTTTGATAAGATTGGAATTGAAATCTTCGATTTCACGATTGCGTTGAGTAGTTCGGGGCGAATCTCATCTCCTTCGCACAGCTCATTTTCGAATCCGAAGGTGCGAACTCCTGCACATTCGAGATCGTCGTACAGGTAATCAGCGAAAGTGTCGCGAGTGTCTGGAGTTCTGAAACTCAAGAAGACTTCGTATTCTCCTGCCGGAAGTGACGTGAAGCGAGAAGCACTAATTGAGGAGAGCAAAACAGTAGTTGCAGAGCCTAGGGTTTCTGAGTTCTCTTTCTTCCCGCCTTGTAGAATTTTTTTAAATATCATCATCGTTTTAATCTTACCCCTATTCCGGTGACTCCATCGATCAACAACATTTATCAATCTGGCTAAACATACCTAACTAACCCAATCAAAATAGATGCAACAAGCTAGGTCATATCCCCTTTTATCTCTGTCTTCGGTGTTTCGGGCATTGGGACTTCAAATTTGTGATTTTCTTTCACCATCTCTCTCTATGGAGTTTGCGTAATAGATCTGCGAGCCTTCTCTCTGTAATTGGATAAGCTGAAGTCAACAAGAACTCGACAATTCTTCTTTCGCAAAGAGGTGTGGAGTAGATTTTTTATTTTGCCAAGAAATCACAAGATAAGGAATTTTCAACTTCCAAGGAATTTAGGCACTTCAAGACAAAACTTGTTAATACAAGAATACCTTAAACAATTAAATTTAGAAAATTTTTCTAGCTAGTCCTACTTTAAATTTTAAAGATAAATAAGTCTTAATTTTTTATTTTTTATTTTTTATTTATAGAGTCCATAAAATCTTACTTTTAATAAATATTTTCAACTAAGTTGTGAATTAAATAGACCATGCTTCTTTTTTACCATTATTGTCTTCAAATGTGGACGTATCGGCTACTATGCAAACAAGTGCAGAACTAAGAAGAAACTCAGTAGTCTTCACATCAAAGATGAACTAAGACTTCAATTAAGTAAATTATTACTTAATACCAGTTCTTCTGAATCTGAATCATCAGATGATTATGGGGATGTTGTTATGGAATTACATTCTTCTTCTTCCTCTGAAGCAGAAATTGGAAATCCTAGATGTTCTTGTAATCCCTCTCATGATGATTATTATAAGGCCATTGTTGAGATGAATGGGTTAAGCTTAAATGTTTTAACTTCGACTCAACAATTCTTATTGGATCTTATAGATTATATCCAGGATCCTCAAATCAAGATGAAAGTCTTTGAAATAGGTTCTGTTCTGGCACGATCTAATGAGGATTCGGATAATCCAGATTTTCTGAGAGCAGAAAATCATTACAGCATGAAAGAAGTTCTAAGCAGATTAGAACACCAAGGACAAAGTTCACGTCCTGCTAATCTCCCTGATCTCAGAATGGAGATTAATCTTTTAAAAGAAGAAATTCGTCAATTAAAGTCTCGTCAGACTAAGATGGATTTGGAAATTACTCTTTTAAAAGCAAAATCTGCAATTACACCTTCATCATCCCAGGATGAAGTCCCTCAATCAGAAGGTACTAATTATCTTCAACTCTTGAATCAAGTTACTTACCAAAAATGGTATATATCTATCAATTTGGTAATTAATCAGGGGTACACAATCACTAATAATGAAAAAGTACATAGGTTTAATTGCCACCAAAATTTAACAAGTTATTCAAATTAAACTATTGTAATAAAAATAAATATTAAAACAAGTCACAAAAAGTCTACAATTTTATATATATATATATATATGATGTCTATTTATGTACAATCAATTGAATTATGAAAATTTTCACTTTTTTTCTATTTTTTATTGTTCAGAACATAAGCGATTTTAATAATTATAGCTAAATTTATATAGCTTTAGGTCTATGATAATATATATACACACGCGCACTTCAATTTTGGTGTCCCTATCTTCTTTTACATTTTGAACAAATATATGCATCTATAGGTCGTCTTTATATATGCCCATTTATTAAAATTTATTCTCTCATTTTATTATTAATATGTGTCACTGGACTCACTCTTAGTCATCCTCACCATTCATCTTGACGTCTCATTTTATCATGTTGATACATATTGTATAATTTTTATACACATATATTGTAACTTGCGTGAAAAATTAGATTGAGAATGAATTTTGCACCACGGAAGTTTCATCCTATTATTGGAGGCCTTGTCTCAGCTAGGAGCAAAGGATGAAAAAGTGAATACACAAGTTGAAGCGAAAGAAAATATATTTTAGTTTATATTTTTATTTTTCTAGAAAAGAAGGATTGTAATAATTTTTAATTCAATTCTCCAGTGTTCTTAACCTACATTCAGTCCGCTGGATGAAAGAAGAAGGTACGGAATTATCTCCAAATCGTGGAACAAAAGAACTGAAAAGAGATGACGTTGAGCCCACTAAAAAGGCCGAGGCCCAATTCACTTGTAACACTATTAGGGAAAAATCAAACCATATATTCGGAGACTGATGATGCGTGTTATATTCGTGTCCCTTCATATAACCATGTATTAGTTCAAAATGATTAAATAAATGCTTCGGGCTTTTGTTACACCAATTTACTTGTAACACTAATCAAACCATATATTCGGAGACTGATGTTTTTTTTTTTTTTTTTTGGGTTAGTGTGTGTTCAATAACCTTATTTGGTAACCTAAATTTGTTCCAAGAATTTTAGAAGTAAAAACATAAAAGTATGTTTGGTAAAAAATGTTACAAATTTGAAATATTGAATAGCTAGATAAAAATGTCATTTTAAAAAATAAATATACATATATATTTTTTTTGAACAGTACTTTGCTACAATGAGGAAGTAAACAAAAACAGTTGAGCACTATTCAAATGACAGTAAATATTACAAAAACATGTTTCGTACTTTTACTTTGAAAAAAAAAAAAGAAAAAAAAAAAAAAAAGCATATATTTGCCCAACAAGCCCCAAATAATTGTATCTTAGAATCAGTTAAAAAACTAGATCTTAAATTACTGTCAATCTCATCCATTTTCTGAAACATGATTTCTCAATGTGATAGGCATCATGAAATTTTCATTTTTTGAAATACACACACAATTATGTTGACCATTATATACCAAATAAATCTGATATCTTTATTGTGATCCATCATATAAAAAATAAATTTTGTGGATATGGAAGAATATCTCTCCCCCTTGATTTCATAAAATGGTGTCCCTCCCTCTGTTCGTCAATGTACTTGTATTAGTGTTTTAATGTTATAATTGAAATTGTAGTGCATAAATTAAGTAATCAAACACTTTAAAGTAATAAAAAACATTATAGTCTAATGGGTAGTCTTTCAAAATTATCAGAAAATTTAAATACCAAATGTATAAAGTGGATGTATGGGTGTGTTTCTTGTAAAAAAAAAAGATAAAAAATAAAAAGAAAGGGGGGTGGGATGTATCTTGAAGGATGAAATTACTACGAAAATATTTTTATGATGTATATTTATCATGAAAATATTTCCATAATGAGTATCATTTTTTGTTTTATTTTTATTTTTTAAATCCCGTTTATTATCCTTATTTTCTCCTTATTAACCTAAAAGGCACTTCCAGTATTCTCTCCCAGTCCCAAGAAGAGAAAACTTAATTGCTTCACTAAATCCTCCTTCCACACTCTGATGCCCTCATCAAATCTGGATTGAAGGACTTTGTGAAGCCCTTGTTCTCACTTGGAAACCTGTCTTGTTTAATATCCAATTGTCTAACCAACAATTAATCCTCCTCTCATTATTGCCAATTCTCCACCCAAGGCCCTTCTTTAACCTCTCCCTAACAGGTAACAAATTTTCCATGCCTAGACTAGTCATTTCATAATTACATTGCAAATTTGCTATCACCTTAGAATCAAATTTGTGTAGATGGCTGGCAGAGAAATAAAAATATATATATTTCCAATCCAATTACAAATTTGCGAAGTACAACCCATCCGTCAAACTTTAATAATTACATTGCAATTTAATTTTAGGAAATGTAGTGCGAAGGACCACAAAATATATTTCACATTAAAATTTCCAACACAAAGGTACTTGAATATCATAATTTTGAAAACTTCACACACCAAAAATACCCAGCATAGTGCTCATTACCATTACCACGGCTTTGTAGATTCATAAGGTCTTCAATGGCTCGACCAGCTCGATTAGTTCACCAGGACCTGTTGCACCACCATTATCTCTGACAAAATGTCAGCCTACAAATATAGGGAAAACTCTTATGATTCCGAATTTCCCTAACCAAATGTGGGTTAGGAGGGTGAGTTTAGGATTTATTTTGATTCCTTCGAAGTATATATTATTATGCCAAAAACTGATTGGTATAAAGTTGCTGCTTTCAAATAAGCTTTATGTTGATTGATACTTCACAGTACCGGATGTCCAGCAGGGAGAGCCTTTTTATGCATACCACGACATTCCAATGCCTTCAAGATTGCAACTTGTGCGTTCCTTGTCAATCTTTGGAGCACCCACTTGCATTTCCAGTATGAGACCAATATTCTTTAACCAGCTGCCCAAAGAGAGAACCCTCCTTGTTCATGTGTTTCATTTGCTCATCATACTCCACTAGCTTTCCTGTAAACGTTAAACCGAGTTTATTGTCCTGCAATCTTTGGACAAATAAAATAAGACTTTTTTATATTATTTATTGTACATGACATCAGGATCTAAAACTCACCATCACTAATAGAAAGCACCATTGTGCAGTCCATAACGGTTGGTATTCTGTGGGCCACTGTTATCACAATGCATGCAGTCTGTAAATTCTGTACGTCTAGTTTTCAGGATAATAGAGGGACTTAGAGTCTGTTGCATTTTCGATAGATGCAGTGGCTTCATCAAGCACTAATATTTTCCTTCTTTTCAATAATGCCCTTCCCAAACAAATTAACTACAGTCGCATGCTCCAATTTGATCCGTCTTGCACAACTACAGTCCAGGTTGTCAATAACAGTTTTAGTTAAGAAATTCCTTTTTCTCTTGAACATCCTCTCGAAGCTAACACTTTTCAAGTACCTTCAACACATTGTTAGAAATTTTATTAGGAGCAACAAGAAGTTGGTTGATATGATGGCATTCGCCATTTTGTTATTGATGTGATGACACCTAGTTTTCTTTATAACTACTCGATGTTCCTTCTTTCTTTGTCAATTTACTTGAGGCTTTTTTTTGGTTAGAATGAAAAATGTATTGAAAAGTGAAAGTAACAGAAAGTGAAGTGGACGAAAATAAATTAAGTTTTCCAATATGTATTCTTTTAAGATGGAAATTGAGTAGGAAAGTTGAA